GCTGCCTACTCCGAGGAGTGTTGAGGGGACTCCCCGCTCGGGACAACACTTTGTGTGATCTAAAAATTGTTGTTCTGAGTCTGGGTGTTCTTTGTGTCCGTTTCATGTATGTTTGCAAAGACCTCCGCGTCTTTTAAAAATAAAAAAATACACACTTGCATTGAAATTACATCGTGATGTCTTGGACTTGCCTTTTGCCGGAATATTACGGTATTTTTGAAATGGATTTAAACAACTATTACAGTAAAATTGCTAGGTTAACTTTTGCTATTGAACCTTCAAAAGAAACAAACTAAAATGTGCTAAATGATTTTTAATTATCTATTAAATATTACTTGTCGATTACTCTCAAACATTCCTATAGAATTTTTCAGGCTGTTTGAGGTTCGTCCTAAATCAATCTACCTACGCCGACCTCTGATTATCACAGACGAAGCCGGAAAATAGGCTTGTTTTAATAAGGATTGGACACGTTATTTTACTTATTATATTATAAGTATTTTCTACAATACTATTTACTAAAAACACAAATAATTATATTTTTTTATTTCATATTTATTTTCCGTTATGGGACAAGTAGCGACATCTAAAAGCAAGTGACTAATAACATAAATGTGGGAACAGTATAGAGATGGGGCTACTTTATATAAACAAATTCACTATAGAAGATGTCGTTCCAATTTCAATAAAATTTGAAAGGTCAATTTTCATATAAAAAAAGGCAAGGATATTTTAAAACCAAATTTTCTTCAAACCTGTCAAATAATGTTCACGATCATTTATTGGTGTACATTTTACGTAAATAATAAAATTATCGTCAAGATCAATAAAATAATATTTTCAATCCTTATTATATTTAAAATAATATATTTAGCCGGTGAACGGTAAAACTCTAGACATAAATGTAAAAAGTTTAAAATAAAAAAGTAATATAATACTTAAATTATAAAGTTTAAAACAGATTTTTAAAATACCACATACTACAAAAGGAAGAAGGTCATTCATCATAGTTTTCTTGCCCAATTCTATTTAGGGTCTAGTTAAGTAAGTTAAGTTATAGTAAGAAGCGCGAAGTTCCTCTTTCGACAATATTCGTGTACAGCCTACTAAGTATTTTATGATTCCCTTGTAGAACAAACGTTTTGTGTACGTTAGATATAGTTTAGAATGAGCAATAATTACAATACTTTAAAATGGCTTTATTGTCATGGCAACATGTTTCTGTCTTTTCGAGGTAATGTACCAATTTAATGGTAAAAACTGTGATGTCACGGGACGGCTGGCAGATATAAAACATCGATACTATTATTTATTGTAAGACAAAAAGATGGTTTATTATAAATGTGACAATCAAAATGATAGTTTTTTTTTAAATATCTTCATTTATAAATTTCGTCAACAGCTAGTATGACGTCTCGAAAATCGTGAATTAATCATTGTCAAGGTTATTATAATTACCGCTCTTCGATCGGTGTATAAATTCCAAAGATGACAGTTGTCAAGAAAGACAGACTCGACATATTGCCATAGACAAGAACGCCAAACTGAATTTTTAGTCTTTGGATGTGTGTAAAATGTAAATAGTACTTAAATGCATGTTAGTATTGTAAAGAAACGTTTTATTATTATAGAGAACTTTTATTTTTGTTCCAACTATTGTAATAACGACATGAAATAAAAATACTGTGTAAATAATTTTGAGTTTTATTCAGTTGTAACTTTCGCTAGCCATAGGCGCAGCACTCTCTTCTCTAAAGAGGAGGATAGGGCGCGATTTCTTTACTGAACTTGTAATTCTTGAAGAGGCGATTCCTCTTGATCTTGCCCCAGGACCTCTATATAGAATGTAAATCTGTTTGTGAAAAGTGGCTGGAATTCAATTCTGATTAGGTTGTTAAAACCTAGCATCACGGTTTTAGTGATATTGATGCCAGTGATCCCTACCAAAGCCAAATATTGTTACGCTGCCCTGCTTATATACACAATAAATAGAAGAAGTAAAGCTGGATTTGCGTCGGAAAGAGATTTCAACTGGATTTGCCTAGTTTAAAGAGAAAAGAAATACGCTAGATGGAATCCACATGTTAAATCAGGGGCGGCCTTTGGGGGTGGCGAGCAGGGCAACAGCCCTGAACTTGCTCATGCAGGAGCCTCGCCCTGTTTCATTTCGCCTGCTATTTTGACAGGCTTGCTTTTATGTTCAGCAGCAGTGTGTGTTGCGTTGCATAATGTTTTTAAGGTATCATCATTAAAACGAATTCCATAAACACAAGGGCCTCTCAACCTCCTTTCTCAGGAGAGGCTTATGTCCAGCAGTGGACTATTAAAGGCTGTTAATAAGGGCCTCTCAATGATCTTCCGCCCGGGGCCTTGCAATGGCTAAGGCCGCCACTGTGTCAAATTATCTGAGTTCTCTAGTGAATTCAATCACTAATAATAATAATGCAGATTAAACCTCTAGCGCCAATCCACACTATTATCAGTTTATTTTCTTTTTGTCCTTCGGTCAAATACTGTAAAAACCAGGAACAGAGCCTTTTAAGTAATTGTAGTCTAAGTAAGTCTTGTAATTTATTAATATAATTAATATATGTAAGAGCAGCTAACACGAACAATTTTTTTTTATAAACTGAAAGTTCACACTACTCGCTACTAGATGGCGCTAAAATAAAAATCTTTCTTTGGTCACATATGTTTATTTGTTACTCGATCACACCATATATCATTTTGATGCTTTAGTGATAATACATTTTCTCTGTCCTTGAGTTGAAACTCAATGTCTTTTAAAATATGTTTTTGTTCGCAGCAACGACCACACAACCGATAGACACCGCATTACAGCACACTTCTGACAATTGTTATGGCGAATAAACATAAACATATTCCAAAGTTGAAGAGGTTGTTTGCATGGTTGAACGCTGTGATCTCAGAAACTACTCGTTCAAATTTGAAAAATTCTTTTAGTGTTGGGTAGCCCATCTATCGAGAAAAGCTGTAGGGCATTTTAAATCACGCTATCGCTGTGTCTGAGGTTAATATATATAGATATGTGTGTAATAATAATAAAAACCTCACACATCTCACACACAGACGTCTGATCGAAGAACGCTACAGGACATCACGCCACCACCAATCAGAGCCTACCATCAATAAAAAATGATGCAAAACGAGGCAAATATATTCCTTTTGAGAGACGCAGTTGCGCTGGTTAGATAGTCATAACATTAGCCGGCAATGGAAGCTACTCAGCCCATGCTAACCACGTAGATATAAACACTTCGGTGTTACTGCATTAATTATTTATAAAAAAATAAATATCAAAATGCCTAATTGCACAATAAAATGGTATTAATAAAAAAAAACACAAAAAACCGGTGTTAAGCAATTCTTTTGTTGCCTTTCACTGATTGAGTGAGGTTACCGGAGCCCAAATACCCCTCCCGCTGAATCGAGCGGGAGGGACTCCAAGGGCGGCAACGCACTTGTGACTTTTGAGTGGCAGGTGTCAATGGGCGGCGGTAGTTGCTTACCATCAGGTGACCCATGTGCTCGTTTGCCCCCTTATACCATAATATCATTTCATTAATAAGTGTTAACAATACATAGTGTTAACTATATTTTATTCCACAAAAGATTTATCAGAGTTCATTTTATACTGGTAGTTAGCGAGTAGTTGGAACGACTTGCAAAAGTTATCATCCTGTTTTCTATCTAATAAATAAATAAATGTAATTAAATTATTGTAAGATACCCTTGTTTTATGTTTTAACGGGCCTGTCGGTATAGCGGTTAGTAACCCTAACTGATAAGCTAGAGATCGTGGGTTCGATTCCCACCTGTGTGTGTGATGAGACCGCCCATTTGTCTGTGTCTTTATCTATTATTATGATGAGACTATACCACAGGATATTTTTATATGCAATATTTATATGCCCGCTCCAATCCTACTGACTTCTGCTACCCGCGACGGACGTACGGCCCGAAGCGGCGATGGCCGCTTTACTCCGCATTTTAAACCTCTAATATCTTTTATAATAATCATTTTAATATGCTGCACAGAACAATTTTAATCTACGTATCTCATTGTATATGGAATAATAATGTATTGTTTAAAATGGCTTCGTAAATAACTCATTACTTTTGTAATATTTAAAAGATAAAAATGGTTACTGTGAGTTATCTTTAGGACATAGACATATACCATCGCGGACTCTTTAGCAGATATTTTTAAGATATACAATTCCGTAGTACATTATTTTGGTATATCTCGTAAGGTTTAGCCAGCGTTTGCAATGTAAGCGAATAAAAACGTTTTTACGACTAATCTTTGAAATTCTCGGATTTTCTATAATATGCATGTATTATACATATAATACATGCATATAGTCCGTGTGGTGACGGATTAAGAATACGGATTGTCTCCACCCTCATTCATCCCGTGGGTGTCGTAAGAGCCGACTAAGGGAGTAAACTACGCAGGACAACAGCACTGCAAAGAGAAGGAAAACTTGACACAAACCCTATACCAACCCGTCTGGCCAGCGTGGTATAGTAGGCCAAAAACCCCTTTTTAAGGAGAGGCCTATGTCCAGCAGTGGACTGTTAAAGGCTGTTGATGATGATGATGATGATACATATAAACCTTCCTCTTGAATCACTCTCTCTATTGGTGAAAACCGCATTAAAATCCGTTGCTTAGTTTAAAAGATCAATACGTACAACACAAATAAAAACACTATATTTTATACTATGTATAGATATCTGTGTATTTAATAATAAATAAGTATATTTAGCAGCAGACTGGTCACCATAGGCTCTGCCTAGTTTGGGATCAGACTGCTGTGTGTGAGGTGTGTGAAGCTATATAGTATATAACGTAGATCATACTGAGTAAATCTGTCTCATCTCTAACCCCACAATTCTACGATCACGCGTTATCAGCATGACACAATAGAGGTCCAGTTAAAAACCAGTTCCTGGCCTCTACCCCACTTCATACCTCAGCTCGCTGCCAATATGAAACAGTAGGTGTCTATTTGGTTGCATGTTCGTTGGTTTGCATCTTCATCTGTGACTTGCACAAGAATATTTTGTTCGACAGTTTTGCTTTTGGGTTGTTTCCCGTGTTTTGCAGCGAGATGGCGCCGTAATCCTCTGAGTCTAGTGTAGGTGGCGCCACAGTGCTCGCATGGGTGAGTCTCGGAGCGGACGTGTGCGGAGGAGATATGTTCCTCTAAACTGATTTTGTACCCGAACTTTTTGTTGCATATAGAGCACTGAAAACAAAAAAAAACGTCATTAATTTATTATTTACACACTGGCTGACCTGCGCAACTTGGGCTGCGTCTCTCAAAAGAAATATTTTTTTCGAATTTTTTATTTTAGCACCATTTTTCATTAATACTCGGCTCGTAGCGTTATGCTATATAACCTGCCTTCCTCGACAAATGGGCTACCCAACGATAAAAGAATTTTAAAATTCGAATCAATAGTCCCTTAGTTTAGCGCTTCAACCAAACAAACAAATTCTTCGGATTTATAATATTAGTAAAGACAGTTTAGATCTGTAATACTCATTGACTGATGTGACTAATAAAGGCCAGTACTGATGGAAACTGACGCAAATGGACGTTTATCTTCAACATCATCACGACGGCCTGTCGGTGGTGATTGGGGACCCTGACTGGTAAGCATTATTTTTTTTTTTTTTTTTTTTCTCTTTATTTACGGAGCTTAGCCACAATGATGACTACGTCGCTCCATCATAGCCATTTTTTGTTTTAAAATTAACTTAAATATTTAAAATACAAGGTATAAATATCATTAGCTGTATCCGTCAAAGGACTGGCCAGGATGCTGTTACATCTTCCAATGTCCATCAACTTATCATTAAGCAGACGTTCTCTCAGTTGTTGGTTCCGAACACATTCCATCAAAACATGTTCTACGTCCTCTACCACACCACAGATTTCACAATTTGGCGTAGATGATAAACCCATTAAAAAGGTGAACTTTCTGGATGGGATGTGTCCAGAGCGTAACCTCATAGCCGTTATCAATTTATGTCTACTCAAAGAACAGTTATCAATCCAAGGGATAGCCAGCGGTTCAGGTTGTATAGTTTTATACCAGATACCCTTTTCGGTTGATCTTTTATCGAAATATTCTTTCCAGTATTTAAAACAGTATTCTTTTACAAGATATAGGCAGTCTGAATAGTAAGGCAGTATTTTTTTTTTTTTTTTTTTTTTAATAATAATATATTTATTTGCTTCAAACATGTGTAGTTTACAGGAAATAAATCCTAAACAGTTCAATTGGTTAGTTTGTGTGTATCAACATGTTTTGCCATGGAAGGCGTACAAATATGAATTGATTGAGATAGTAATTACATTAGTTTAATAAAATATAACACAATAATCATCAATACAATAATATAATTATATGGGCTAGGAATGTCAAAAATGTCAAAAATAAAATAGAGTGTCAGAATTAAATGTCAAAATGAAAAAAAAAAAAAAAAAAAAAAACTATAATATGTATGTCAAGATAAATAGTTACAGCTAAAGAGAAAACCTTGTAAAAATAATAATATAATTAATTAAGAGTTATCGTTTAAGTAGTCGTGAATATTATAATAGCATTTCTTAACCAACATTTCCTTAACTCTGCTTCTAAACAAATTATGATTCAATGACTTAAACTCTTTTGGTAATTTATTAAATATTTTGGGTGCCATACAGATTACACTACTAGCCAAATGAGCAGTTTTGGCACTGTGCATACGTAGTCGTTGATTGTCTCGTCTGTTGCGCTGAACTGTATCCGATAATCTTGGGAAAGATGTAGGATTATTTTTCACAAAGAGACACATTTCTAAAATATATAATGATGGAAGGGTTAAAATGCCATGATTACGGAAGTATGGTTGACAACTATCTGTAATTTTTGGTCCAAACATAGAGCAGTATTGAAATGTATATACCTTCAGAGCAAGCCTGCTTTGCCAGTGTGTCAACCATTTCGTTCCCAGTTATACCAATGTGAGATGGAATCCACTGAAGATGTGCTGTTTTACCGCTCCGTTCTAACTCAACAATTTGATTCATAATTGTGTATGCTATCGGTGTTCCTCGAATTGTCGAGGTACACCGAGCTACATGTAGGAGGGCACTTTTAGCGTCAGTAAAAATAACGAACTTGTCATGGTCAATAGCATGAATGTAAGATAACGCTTCACTAATAGCTATTAGTTCAATACACATGATCGATATTTTTACGCTAATTCCATATCGAGCGAATGTATTTTGCTGAGGATCGAAGAGGGCCGCCCCCGCACCACCTTTTTCTTTCGATCCATCGGTAAATATCTGGTAATAATTCGGAAACCGAGTATCCATATAATTAAAACACAAATCTCTCAAAACGAATGTCCTGTATTGCTGTTTAGGCTTGTTTATGTAATCTATATTATCTTTTAGATTTTTGGAAATATCTATATAGGCCATCCACACTCGGCTCTCAAACATCTCTAAATTTTGGCTACAATGAACTTGCACTTCTCTCAATTGTTCGTACATTATTATTAAAACAGGTTTATTTTTCCTACGCCATGCGATTAGATAGTTGGCTAAATCCTCTAAGTAGTTAATTATTTTACTCTTCGTTAATAAATATTTGCATTTTAGTAAAAATTTACCGGCTAAGTAGCATCTACGTATATGTAACGGCTGTAACGCTAGTTCACTGCTCATTACATGGATAGGTGTCGTTTTGATAAACCCGCCGATAATTCGCATAGCCTGATTTTGAGTTTTTTCTAATTTGCATAAATGTGTTTCACTACTGTCACCGTATAAAAAGCTACCGTAGTCTAAACGACTCCTCAGGAGAGAAATATACATTTTTCTTAAATGTTTCGGGTGTATACCCCAACTTATCCCCGCCACAAACTTAAGGATGCTGAGAAATTTAGATACTTTTTCATTAATTTCTCTTATGTGTTTAGCCCATCTATGAGATCGATCTAGCCACAAACCTAAATATTTTACACTATCTACTACTTGTATGCTTGTATTATTCAATTTTATAGAAATATTTTGTCTATTACAACCTTTTTTAAAGACGCATATTTTACTCTTAGAGGGCGAAATCTCTAGACCAAGCTCAGATAAACTGCCTACGATATTCTCCAACGAAGTTTGTAATTGTTCAGCGGCGGTAAATATGTTTTTATGTGTACAATAAATAACGAAATCATCTGCATATTGTAAGATGTGTACTGAATCGGTGTTATTTTGTTTGCAAATGTCTATAGTTGCCACATTAAACAGCAAGGGTGACAATGGGTCACCCTGTGCCAATCCTCTGCCGGTGCTGCGGGTCACCGACATACCATTTATTACTAGTTTAAGATAACGTTCCCGAAGAAATTCAAAAAGGTAACTACATATTTTATGTCCCACCCCTAACATATCTAATTTATATAAAAGATTATTGATATTTATGTTGTTATACGCGTTATCTATATCAATGAAACATCCGATTGTTATACAATTTTTACAGAAACCTGTTTGAATTCTTGTTACTAAATGACTTAAGTTATCTAGACAAGACCTGCACTTTCTAAAACCTAACGTGTCGTTAGAAAACATACAATTTTTTTCTAAATACCACTCTAGTCGTTTCTGTATAATTGCATGAAAAATTTTGCACAAACATGATATAAGCGAAATCGGTCTCAGTGCCGATGAGGAGTGGGTGTCCCTCCCAGGTTTAGGGATAGGTATAAAACTAATATCTCGCCATTGAGTAGGAACTGAACCCGTCGAAAGAAAAGAGTTATACAGTTTTACTAGAACTAATTTAGCGTTTAGAGGTAAATTTTTAATCATACTGTAAGAAATGTTGTCGAACCCAGGTGCAGTGTCTTTTGTTTTAATACTTTGATTTAATTCCTGCAACGTGATTTCAATATCTAGAGCCGAATTTTGTGAAGAGAATATAGGTTTACATCGGGGTACATCGTCAGGGGTTAGGCTATATAGAAGAAGGCTGGCTGTATCTGGGTCAATGTGTCTTTTTTGTGTTTGGTAACCTTTAATCCACCTAATTTTATTCCATACTCCGCTCACTGAGGTTGTTTCGTCTATAGAACTACAAAATTGATGCCAAGACTGTCTTTGGGTCTGTCTAAGCATCCTCCGTGACACACTTATTTTCCTTTTTAGTGCAATTAAATTTGCTGGGGTGGGGTTACGTCGAAAGTTAGCTAGTGCTAGTCGCCTCTCTGCCACTGACTTGGATAATTCGGGGTTCCAATATGGTTTAGGCCGAAAATTACTTGTAGGGTTAGTACTAAATTTTATATTAGGGATGCACTCCTCGGCGGCATCGTATAAAATATTTAAGAACGAATTATAAGCTACTTGAGGATTATTAAGAGTGGAGGTATCATAAGTATTAAATTTTTCATCAAGGTAACTCTCATAGACTGTCCAGTTAGCCCTTTTGAAATTTCTTCTTTTTTGAAACTGCTCATTTGAGTAAAATGAAGTAGATATTTTAATAATCATGTGATCGCTTCCCAACGTTTCATTTGATACCATCCAATCAAAACCCAAAGAGATATCAGAGGACGCTATAGATAAGTCCGGAGAAGATTTTCTATATACATTGTTTACAAGTTGAAAACGTGTAGGGCTACCATTATTTAATCTATACTAATATTATAAAGCTGAAGAGTTTGTTTGTTTGTTTGTTTGTTTGTTTGTTTGAACGCGCTAATCTCAGGAACTACTGGTCCGATTTGAAAAATTCTTTCAGGATTAGATAGCCCATTTATCGAGGAAGGCTATAGGCTATATATCATCACGCTAAGACTAATAGGAGCGGAGCACCAATGAAGAATGTTTCAAAAACGGAGAAAATTTATTACTATTGAGAGACGCAGACGAAGTTGCGCGGGTCAGCTAGTATCATATAATTATAGTCTAATATTGAATCTAATATTTGGTTTCCTCTCGTATCTGTTTTGTAAGACCAGTTTGAATGGTGTCCATTAAAATCGCCCAATATAAGCGACTTTCTGTTTGCCATAGAAAACAAATAGTCCCATGTCTGAGAGTTTGTCGACGATTCCGGAGCACAGTAGATGGCAATTAAATGTTCTAATTGATTGCAATTAAATATCATATAATTATAGTCTAATATTGAATCTAATATTTGGTTTCCTCTCGTATCTGTTTTGTAAGACCAGTTTGAATGGTGTCCATTAAAATCGCCCAATATAAGCGACTTTCTGTTTGCCATAGAAAACAAATAGTCCCATGTCTGAGAGTTTGTCGACGATTCCGGAGCACAGTAGATGGCAATTAAATGTTCTAATTGATTGCAATTAAATAATTTTATATAAATTAATTCTAAAGCAGAATTAGTTCTATGTATTTCAACCCGTTGTGTTTGAACTGATTTATGCACTATAATTGCCACACCACCATATCCATCCCTATCCAGGCGAAAAATATAGTAATTATTGATATTTACATGAGTATCTGGTGCAAGCCATGTTTCACTTACCACCGCAATATGGATGTGTTCTTGGATTAATAACTGTTCGAATGACTTTAGTTTGGGCTTAATACTTCGGGCATTCCATTGTATTATGTTCAATCTAATTAATGTATTGGAAGCGTTATCCATTAACTGACGTAAATATATTTTTTAAAACAGACATATCGGGTATTAAATTACTTAGGAATATGTTAAGCCAATCTACAACCACTTTTAACCCATCCTTAAATTGTGTTTGAATCTGATTTTTTATGTTATGTATCATCTCTTTAATGTTATCCCATACACGCCGAAGTGGCGATATTTCGCGAGATTTTTTCCTTGTATGAGGTTGTGTAGTTTGAGAATCTTGAGGGTCAGCTGAATCTTCGGGGTTAGAGTCAGTGACAAACATATCCACTATAACATTATCGGACAGGTGGACCGGAACTTTTGTTTTCTTTTTTTTGTGAGTCTTTTTTGTGATAGTTGTCTTTGGTCGCCCGTTGATCTCGGCTAATTCGAATTGTTCGGTGTCAATACGCGGTGCACTGGTGTTAGATGATCCTTGAGAGGCAAGGCCATTGTTGCTATTAATTAAAAACTTGTTTGCTTCGGCTGTACGACGCGGAGAAGGCGGAATAAAAGTCACGGCTTTTTTATAAGTACACTTCAGCTGTGAGATAATCTCACGAATCCGTCTTTCCCTTGCGTAAACTGGACAATCCCTTGATAGTTAAATATGATTAGCAGAGCAGTTGACACACTTATAAATAGGTATATCACAGTTTGCGTGATCATTTTTGCCACATTTCGGGCAGAGAGGCTTGTTAGAGGGGCACATCTTCGATGTATGACCGAACCTCCAGCATCGTGAGCATTGTGTCACAGGGAACACAAACTGAGAGACAGCAATTCGTAGGTCCATTAAATAAATATGACTTGGTAAAGAATTACCCTTAAAACCAATTCTCACGGTTTCACTCGGAGTCCATCCTTCCTCCGTTCTCCTATTCATCCGCTTAGCGGTCACAAGGTCTTTATCAGCCCGAATACATTTTATGAGCTCCGCCTCTGATAGTTCCACATCTATATCTTTGATGATTCCATAGCATAAGTCAACTTCCCAAGTTTTTTGTCGGCGCCAACCAAGTTCACTTAAGGCGGTACAAGATAAAAACTTCTCGGCGTTAATTTCCTTATCAAAAGTGAATGATACCTTATAAGGGTTAACATATTTAACTCTTGTGACTCCAGTTATTTTATTTTCGTTTAGTAACTTTGCCATAGCGAATTGCTTAGGTAGTTTTTCTTTAGAATATACGCATATCTGCCACATATTTTCTACCGATTGCGTGCTGGAAAGATCTATAGATTTTCTTTTCTTCGCAACCGTCTGCCAACCTTTTTCACCATTCTCGATTCTTAACCGCTTATTTGTTAGTTCTTCATTTGTCTCCATGTTCTCCTCTAAACAATATGTATGGTCAGTCTCACCACGCTGGTCAACTATGGAATTTTCATCGCAGTCATTGTAAACACGTCCGCTAGCCATTCAGAATATGGTTCATATTAACTTCACACAACAGACGGCCGGGCGCCGATCGCGCTGCGCCGAGCGATAAGAAACCGGTTAGTTGTTTACTATATTTGTTAACCACTAAGAACGCGTTCTAATCGCACGAGGTGTGAATTAGCACTGTGGTAAGCATTATTAAGCAGAGGTATTGGGTTCGATAAATAATTGTAAGCATGAGCATGAGCATGAGTTCAGTGTCTGGGTGTAATTTATTTGCGCTCTGAGCGGATGGGAGCGAGAGCGAAAAATATGTAACAAGACTTTTTTCCGACACTATAGCAGACGTCTGCCATAAAGCGAAATGAACTTAGTTCCGACCGGGGTTTCATAGGCCCCTCACGTTACAATATGTATGTATTTAGAAATATATAAGTATGTTTATCAGCAGTCTGGTTACCAAAAAAAAAACAATTATTTAGGGTGGTTAAAATTATTAAGGAATACTATATATATTCATTTTCAGTAGTTACCTCATACTTTTTGACGCCAAGATGCCTTCGCTTGTGAGCGCGAAGGTTTGAACTGGATATACATCGCTGAGGGCACACGTCACAACTGTATGGCCGTTCACCAGTATGAGTCCTGAATTTAATAGAGAAACATGACTGCAATTATTAAAGACGCCACAAATCGTCGGTTCCAGGACTTCTGTCTTCTTATTTCTTTATACTTATTTATATTTATATGACGGGCCTGTTGTCTATAGTTAAACCGCCGTAAGCTTGGCCCTCCTGATGGTTTGCGGGACGCGGGGCGGGTGATGCGCTCGGCTATACATGACACGATGTACTAACTCGATATCTTCAGATTTATTTGTTTGAGATTTAATCTACACACGATGTTATAACAATTGAATTTATTTCCATGTATTATAATGTCAGTGTATTGTAAGTTTTTATGATTAATTGAAAAATTTAATACTGTAAAATAATTTTAATAAAATCACCTTATCTTCATCATGTAAATTATATTCAGATACAATTTAAAAATTAAGTGAAATAATAAATATTATTTATTAGAACTTTAACAGTAGAACCTCTGTAAGCCGAACTTCAAGTTTTTAAATCTTTTTGTGACGCAGAGTCGGCAGATTATCCATGTTGCAAAATAATACCGTGTGTAGCAGTCTTAAGAAAAATAACACGTACAGCCATGCTTTCACGTCAGTCACTGTCGGCGGACAGCGACGCACTAGCTAATTGGTTGAATGCACCCCCGCCCCGCGTCCCCCAAACCATCAGGAGGGCCAAGCTTACGGCGGTTTAACTATAGTGGGTAGTGAACTATGATTGCTAATCCGGGGTCATGGGTTCGATTGCCACCTAATATAAAGATCATTTTCTGTGTCTGGGTGAAATTCATCTATAATGTGCATGTATTTATAAACATACATAGTGTAAGGGACATCGTAAAGGATACTGCAATAGTAATATTCAGATCATCATTTTGAGTTTTAAATCATTGGAATTTTCTGCCGGAAAATTAAACTTTTTATGCAATCAGTTGTCAAACGGGTCATTCCCAGTGAGTATCGCACAAAAATAATAACTACATGTGTATTCCGTACAAACACGCACGCTACGCACACTAACACAAGGCGGCCGAAAGGGAGGACTCGCGCGCTTTGGCTGTTTGATTAATTACGTTGCAGTTTTTGACAGTACGCGGTATTTATTAATTTATTTTCGGTGAAATGTTCTGTTTACGCATTGTGGTTTCATTTTTAAACCAAAAAAATTGATGAATTTTCCGGCAGAAAATGCCAGTGATTTTCGACCCAGAATAATAGACTGAATACACTATTTCAGTATTCGTTACAATGTCAATTACACCCTGTATAAGTATGTTTATCAGTACCATAGCACAGGCTCTGAATAGTTTGGAATCAGACGGTCGTGTGTGGGATGTGTAAAGTTATTTTTTTCATTATTATACCAGCTTTCGCCTGCGGTTCTGCCCCTGTGTATGTCCTAAGCCTAAGTTACTCGCTGATAATGTAACATTCCATTGGTGAAAGAATTTTTGAAATCGGTTTAGTGGTTTAGGTGTGAAAGCGTAACAAACAAATAAACCAACTTACTTTTACATTTATAATATAAGTATTGAAGTATGGATATATTTAGCACAGGTTCTACCTAGTTTAGGGTCAGCAGGCCATGTGAGATAAATCAAGTTTTTATTTTTATATATAACTAGCTGACCCGGCGAACTTCGTACCGCCTTAGCGTAGCAATGATTCACTACTTTATTTTGTATAGCTGATCTATCTTAGGTATGAGTACCTATTCAATTTGAACTGGAATCTATAATATCCTCCATATAAAAATGAATCCATAATTCCCTGGTCTCGCTATACCTGAAAAGGACCTTACTAATTTAATTAAATAAAAAACAAAATTTATATTTTCATAATAGTGTTTATTCCATAGGATTCAATAATTCCACTAATGTTTTTACAAATCGCTATTGAACAACTTGGCATTTTTAAGTAAACACAGCTCAATACCACGCGCGCTCTAGAAAGCAACTAATAGTCTCTGTACCCTTCACTGCTTCTCTCTACTCTAATGCTTTTTGATAAACTATATTTTTAGTTTTATGTTCTGGCGCGTAAATAAATAATGTTGATGGTTTTCCGACACGGGAACAGGCGACATATAATTGGCCATGTGAAAAACATGGATTTTCTAGGTTGATGCCACATACACTAAGCGACTGCCCTTGCGATTTATTTATTGACATTGCAAATGCAAGCCGCACTGGAAACTGTAAACGCTTAAAGCTGAATGGCATGTCGTTCGGTATCATAGGGATGCGTGGGATTAAAACATCTTCGCCTTTGTACTTCCCTTTCAAAATTGTGGCTTCGATGACATTGTTCAATAATTTCTTCACCGCAAGCCGGGTGCCATTACACAAACGTGGCTGGTTTATGTTCCGTAACATAATAATTACTGATCCGATTTTTACTTGCAGATTATGAGGTGGTAAGCCGGGCAATTCCAGCGAATTTAAAAATTCTGTTGGATAATTGACAACTTCATCTTCATTAGTAACGGAATCAACTGATTTGTAATTCTTCAATTCGCCAGCTATTTTCTCTTGAATCTGAAAATTCATTTCGTTCACATCAACATTTTTTGCGGCCAATATAACACGTTCGCTTAACCAAACGTGATTTACGTAATTTTGAGCAATGTTTGGGAAAACCATCTCCATGAGTTCGGTCTTTGATTCACAAAAGTTACAAAAATTGGTAGGGAATGTAATGTATCCAGATGATGTATCAACAGCAATATTACCATTACCAATATCGAGCAGTTGTTTGGAAAACACTTCTCCAGACTGGTCTTCCTGCAATTCGACTCTCATGTTTATACTCAATTTAAGTGTTTTAATGTATTTCCATAAAATGGACGACTTCAAACATGCATTTAGTTCATCAGCTGGCGTTGAGCGTGCAACAACTGGCAATATTTGTCGAAAATCACCTGCCAATAGTATCATTGCACCACCAAACCGGTTTTTGTTATTTCGTAAATCTTGCATTGAGCGATCTAATGCCTCCAAAGATTTTTTGTGTGCCATCGTGCATTCATCCCAAATGATCAATCTGGTTTGCTGCAGCACTTTGGCCATGGCAGAATTCCTCGAAAGGTTGCAAGTTGGAGTTTCATTTATTTGAAGGTTCAACGGCAACTTGAGAGCTAAATGAGCTGTTCGACCGCCTTCCAACAACGTAGCTGCAATACCTGATGAAGCTAGGGCTAGTGCAATTCCATTTTGCGATCGAATCGTGGCCAAAATCAATGCTAACAAAAACGTTTTTCCAGTTCCACCATGAGCATCTAAAAAATAAAATCCACCAGTTCCATCGTTCACTACTTTCATGAGCGTATCGTAGGCATATTTTTGTTGTTGATTTAAAAGGGGAACTGTTCTATCAACCATTTCTCGTAATGTTTCAGAATCGTATTGAGCTTCGCGTCTCAATTCTTGATCAAATGAGTCGTGCATTGGGCGATTGGGTGCTATCATTCCTATTTGTGTTAATACTTTGTTGGTAAGCATCAAGCACATGTCCTCAATTAAAATTAATGCTTCATTGTGAATTTCTTCGTTCATTTGTAAATCTGCATTCGATGTTCTAAGACGCATCTGATGCAATATATCTTCCGCCATATGATCTTTGTATTTATGCCATAAATCAGTCGGTGTTGATGGGAAGCATGTAGACAAAATTATAGAAAATAATGTTCGTATTTGTTTAGCATTTGACGAAATCACAGCATCTTCGAGAGTGTGGTCCCAATGAGTGTCATTCTCTAACAATCCCAAATGTTGACAGGCTTCTCTGTATGTGCCACACAATACACCATTAACAGTTCGCAGATGTTGGAATGATGTTGGACCACGAACATTGACTAACAGTAAACGCAAATAAAAACACTCGTCTTGACTGGGATGGACTGCATAAAGACGGCCTAGTGCATCGGTGGAAAATACTTGTGGATAACCTGGAACTGGCTGTCCTCGTTTTCGTCGTTGGAATTTTTTTGATGATTGATTCCAGGTATAATATCTTGGCATTTCGGAGTAAAGTAGCGTTCTGGCAAAATCATCATTCTGGCACATTTCAAAGAAGCTGGTTAATGTTGTCGATGGTGGCCTGTCAACTCGTTGTAATACGTTTGCATCTGTAAAATACACCCGTTGACCATTTTCCAAATGTACGGCCAAGTGAACAACAGTAGGGTGTCGTTCATGTATAGGAAACGAAAATATACGGCACATGCCTTCGTTACTACTAACATAGCGGCCCATTTGATATTGAGTGACTTCATCATTTGAATTTTCGGCAGCAACTCCGAAGACAGCCATATCACTGCCTTTGTTCACATACTTGCAAATGTATTTAATAGATTTTACGGAATGGCAAAATTCGACGTTTATGTGTGCTTTATATGCCTTGCAGAGTAATGGCGAAAACGGAACAACCCAACGATTATCAACTTCAATGTCCTGTCGATTTACTTTGACTATTGTCATCAATGGATCGGCGGCGATAAAGTGGATATCCATCATTTCCAGTAATAGTTTCTGCTACTAATTGTCTTGGGTAGCGTTTTGAGCATTTTCCTTCAACCATACACGGAGAGTTGGGATTTAATATTCCACATGGACCATGTATCATATTTTTTGTAATAACCTCATGTAACAGTGGGTCTTCATTATAATCGAGAATTTCTGCTGATATCACATGATCAATTTCATTCGGTCTTATCCTCTCAACCAACCAAATGAGGATATGTGCATGTGGTAATCCGCGTTTTTGCCACTCAACTGAGTACATCCAACAGCGCGTCTCGCCAAACACGCGATGCTTAACAATAAAATCCATGAGTGATTTTAATTTCATTTTTAACACCCTTGCAGTGATATCGTGGCGATCAATGGGTGATTGGCTAGGAAATAATTCTTGTTGAATTTCTGTCCACTTTGGATTGCATGTGAATGTGATAAACAAATCTGGTGTGCCATAATGTCGTACATAGCACATAGCATCTTGAGCATATTCATGCATATGACGCGGACTTCCGACGTTGCTGGGAGAATAGTTGTTCTGCCAACATTCTGTGCATTTCCATCAGCATTAATGGCATCCCGAAGATGAATGTATTCCTCGGAACGGAGTTTTGCCTGGTTCAACCTGATAAATGTCAATCGTTCAGTTTCAACTTTCACATACATATCCACAGCATATTGGTGAAATAGACGCCGACATATTAAGATGTGATTGTCCTCATTTTCCCGAACCATCAGTCTGTATGAATAATAATTCATTGAACTAACTTTTTTGTTCGTGTCAGCACCTGTAAACAATTTTTTGTGTTAATAATATAAATTTTAGTTTAGTAAACATATATTTTAATGTAGTAAACACATTGTTAATAATTTACCTGTAACTGGATTTATCATCTTCATTGAAAAATTATAGCCGTCTTCACCTTGCCAAAATAAGATAGGATATTGTAAGGCATCATATGATCGATGTGTTTCAGACACACGCTGAAGCTGATCGTTCCGCCGATGTAAAACAATGTCTCGGTTTTCTAAATTTTCACCCACGACAACAATAGCCACTTCATCAATTGTTGGTGCATTAAAACGTCCAGCATGTTGTCCTGCAGGCGCCTTATCGGCTCTGATGACAATTTTGTGATCATCTGATGGCATGCGATCTAATGCAGTTGTGAATAATGCAACTAATTCATTGTGTTGATGGAAAAATGTTTGAAGTTGTTCCACAATGGATCTTTTCACTGAGTTGTTGTGTGCGCAACGCTGATCGACTTCTCTTGCTGAATTGCCCATAAAATATATTTGCAAAAATTTATAGTCTTCATCAGGCATTGGCAATAAGGAACCTGTTCGATGATATATTTGACCCTGAATCTGCAAGAATATAAATATGTATATAGGTAATTGTATAGCAAATTGTACCACCATGTGGCTCGCAAAATATTGCCACAATACTTTACATCATTTTTTCAAATTAAAACTACTTTAAACCTGGACATTGAACAGCCTTCCATGGCAGCTTTAGGTAGTAGGCTTTACCAAGTATTGGAACACCTTGCTCATGCCACTATGAAATACAACATGTTATAAAATGTTGCTGATTAAGTCATTGGATTATAGACTATTATTATGTATTTGACTTATTGTTTACAAAATAAACACATCACTGGCTCAACATATTTTGCACCAGCTACATGGTTGTAAAACTAAAAAAATTGTTTGCCATCATACTTACTTTGAAAGTAGGCATAAAATTGTCTCGAATAACTTTTGTTGCCCCAAATGATGTCATTTGAAAGCAATTATTGTACTGCTGGATATGAGTCAAAAATGATAAGAATCTTGGCCAATTCCAGAAACCAATGAATGTAGTGGCTCTGGTGGCGGTACCAATGGCGTCAATTTGACTTGGCCGCTGGCGCAACACAATCCAGGGCCTTCATTTTTGAATTTCAATGCCTTGCAATGTGGACACACAATATTCATTAGTCCAATAGCAACAATTTGCTCTGAACTGTAATCAATTGCCACATTATAACTGAATGCAGCTCTGTGTGGATTAAACACAACATTTCTATCTTGATATCGATTCCGTTCAAGTTCATTTCGCGCTTCGCGTTGCTCATCACTTTGATTTGCTCTTATATTTCTTTGACTCGCTGTATTTCGAGTTCTGCGGCCTAAGCTTGTACGTCTGGTTGGTGGCATTGTTAAAAACGAAAATACAACTGAAAATAAAAAGCTCTCATACATTTTCTGTATAACCATGTATACCAAATTATAGTATTGTGTAGTCACCAAAAGTTACTAAAAATCAATATGAAGCTGTGAACTTACCGTGATTAACAAACACTTATTAGCAAACAAATATCTTCTTAGTCTTTAAAACAAACCAAACTTTATCAAAAACTTTATAAACTTATTGTTGGCGCGGTTATGGGTGTGATGTCACAGATTAGTGATGGTTAACTCGAGTACCTAAGCCGAGTGTACTCGAGATGGACGTAACTCGAATCTACTCGATTTGAATTTTCTGTAAACCGAGTTCGAAAAAAAATTCAAGCATATAATTTAACTAAGGAAAAAATATTGTTTGTGATACTAATTATCTTATTTTCTTGAAAATATTGTGATTACTGATTATAAAAATAGTTTAATTGATAGTAAATATTATTTTAAATACTTAAATAAATGATTGGATTTCACTCGAGTTAAATCGAGTAATATTTTTCCCGAGTTGGCACATCACTATCACAGATTACTACAGATTTTTTTATAAAGCCAATGTACTACCACAGATTACTAAATAGGTTATGCGAAGTTTGTATAATGCGTTCTGAAATCAAACTCATATACTCAGACCACACTTATGTGCGCCTGCCTATATTTTACCTTAGTAACGTCATAAAATCGGAACATTTAATAATATTTATCTATACATAACTATACCGTGGCGAGTTATTTTCAAAAATTAATTAGAATTTAATTAAGTAACCACGTTTCCGAACAAACAATGCTCTTTCAATATAGTCTATGGCTGTGAATGACATTGGCTGCGTTCAAGTTTACTAAGTTCTTGGCAGATCTTAGCATATCTTGTAGCAACAACTTAAAATAACTATATTATTATTTTTTTAATCAATAATAAAACAATGTAAGACATATTTATTTAAGTGTGTCTAAAATTAATTTTTTGGTAGATAAAGTCAGCCCTGCTCAGAACTTAGTAAACCTGAACGCAGCCATTGACATTCGTTACGCGCGTTTTTTTAAATATGCAAAATTAAATGTATATTTTTCAATACTTCTGAGAGATTTTCTTAAAAAATTTCCCGTAAGAACCTTCTCCTAATAATAACAAATACAACAAAAAAGAATTAGTGAAATCGGTCCAGCCATTCACGCGTGATGCCGTGACCAAGGAAAACGGGTTTCATTTTTATATATATAGATAATGTTCGTATTTGTTTAGCATTTGACGAAATCACAGCATCTTCGAGAGTGTGGTCCCAATGAGTGTCATTCTCTAACAATCCCAAATGTTGACAGGCTTCTCTGTATGTGCCACACAATACACCATTAACAGTTCGCAGATGTTGGAATGATGTTGGACCACGAACATTGACTAACAGTAAACGCAAATAAAAACACTCGTCTTGACTGGGATGGACTGCATAAAGACGGCCTAGTGCATCGGTGGAAAATACTTGTGGATAACCTGGAACTGGCTGTCCTCGTTTTCGTCGTTGGAATTTTTTTGATGATTGATTCCAGGTATAATATCTTGGCATTTCGGAGTAAAGTAGCGTTCTGGCAAAATCATCATTCTGGCACATTTCAAAGAAGCTGGTTAATGTTGTCGATGGTGGCCTGTCAACTCGTGTAATACGTTTGCATCTGTAAAATACACCCGTTGACCATTTTCCAAATGTACGGCCAAGTGAACAACAGTAGGGTGTCGTTCATGTATAGGAAACGAAAATATACGGCACATGCCTTCGTTACTACTAACATAGCGGCCCATTTGATATTGAGTGACTTCATCATTTGAATTTTCGGCAGCAACTCCGAAGACAGCCATATCACTACCTTTGTTCACATACTTGCAAATGTATTTAATAGATTTTACGGAATGGCAAAATTCGACGTTTATGTGTGCTTTATATGCCTTGCAGAGTAATGGCGAAAACGGAACAACCCAACGATTATCAACTTCAATGTCCTGTCGATTTACTTTGACTATTGTTGACTTTCCATTGTCATCAATGGATCGGCGGCGATAAAGTGGATATCCATCATTTCCAGTAATAGTTTCTGCTACTAATTGTCTTGGGTAGCGTTTTGAACATTTTCCTTCAACCATACACGGAGAGTTGGGATTTAATATTCCACATGGACCATGTATCATATTTTTTGTAATAACCTCATGTAACAGTGGGTCTTCATTATAATCGGGAATTTCTGCTGATATCACATGATCAATTTCATTCGGTCTTATTCTCTCAACCAACCAAATGAGGATATGTGCATGTGGTAATCCGCGTTTTTGCCACTCAACTGAGTACATCCAACAGCGCGTCTCGCCGAACACGCGATGCTTAACAATAAAATCCATGAGTGATTTTAATTTCATTTTGAACACCCTTGCAGTGATATCGTGGCGATCAATGGGTGATTGGCTAGTAAATAATTCTTGTTGAATTTCTGTCCACTTTGGATTGCATGTGAATGTGATAAACAAATCTGGTGTGCCATAATGTCGTACATAGCACATAGCATCTTGAGCATATTCATGCATATGACGCGGACTTCCGACGTATGTTGCTGGGAGAATAGTTGTTCTGCCAACATTCTGTGCATTTCCATCAGCATTAATGGCATCCCGAAGATGAATGTATTCCTCAGAACGGAGTTTTTGCCTGGTTCAACCTGATAAATGTCAATCGTTCAGTTTCAACTTTCACATACATATCCACAGCATATTGGTGAAATAGACGCCGACATTTTAAGATGTGATTATCCTCATTTCCCGAACCATCAGTCTGTATGAATAATAATTCATTGAACTAACTTTTTTGTTCGTGTCAGCACCTGTAAACAATTTTTTGTGTTAATAATATAAATTTTAAGTTAGTAAACATATATTTTAATGTAGTAAACACATTGTTAATAATTTACCTGTAACTGGATTTATCATCTTCATTGAAAAATTATAGCCGTCTTCACCTTGCCAAAATAAGATAGGATATTGTAAGGCATCATATGATCGATGTGTTTCAGACACACGCTGAAGCTGATCGTTCCGCCGATGTAAAACAATGTCTCGGTTTTCTAAATTTTCACCCACGACAACAATAGCCACTTCATCAATTGTTGGCGCATTAAAACGTCCAGCATGTTGTCCTGCAGGCGCCTTATCGCTCTGATGACAATTTTGTGATCATCTGATGGCATGCGATCTAATGCAGTTGTGAATAATGCAACTAATTCATTGTGTTGATGGAAAAATGTTTGAAGTTGTTCCACAATGGATCTTTTCACTGAGTTGTTTTGTGCGCAACGCTGATCGACTTCTCTTGCTGAATTGCCCATAAAATATATTTGCAAAAATTTATAGTCTTCATCAGGCATTGGCAATAAGGAACCTGTTCGATGATATATTTGACCCTGAATCTGCAGGAATATAAATATGTATGTAGGTAATTGTATAGCAAATTGTACCACCATGTGGCTCGCAAAATATTGCCACAATACTTTACATCATTTTTTCAAATTAAAACTACTTTAAACCTCGACATTGAACAGCCTTCCATGGCAGCTTTAGGTAGTAGGCTTTACCAAGTATTGGAACACCTTGCTCATGCCACTATGAAATACAACATGTTATAAAATGTTGCTGATTAAGTCATTGGATTATAGACTATTATTACGTATTTGACTTATTGTTTACAAAATAAACACATCACTGGCTCAACATATTTTGCACCAGCTACGTGGTTGTAAAACTAAAAAAATTGTTTGCCATTATACTTACTTTGAAAGTAAGCATAAAATTGTCTCGAATAACTTTTGTTGCCCCAAATGATGTCATTTGAAAGCAATTATTGTACTGTTGGATATGAGTCAAAAAATGATAAGAATCTTGGCCAATTCCAGAAACCAATGAATGTAGTGGCTCTAGTGGCGGTACCAATGGCGTCAATTTGACTTGGCCGTTGGCGCAACACAATCCAGGGGCTTCATTTTTGAATTTCAATGCCTTGCAATGTGGACACACAATATTCATTAGTCCAATAGCAACAATTTGCTCTGAACTGTAATCAATTGCCACATTATAACTGAATGCAGCTCTGTAGGGATTAAACACAACATTTCTATCTTGATATCGATTCCGTTCAAGTTCATTTCGCGCTTCGCGTTGCTCATCAGTTTTATTTGCTCTTATATTTCTTTGACTTGCCGTATTTCGAGTTCTGCGGCCTAAGCTTGTACGTCTGGTTGGTGGCATTGTTAAAAACGAAAATCCAACTGAAAATAAAAATCTCTCATACATTTTCTGTATAACCATGTATACCAAATTATAGTATTGTGTAGTCACCAAAAGTTACTAAAAATCAATATGAAGCTGTGAACTTACTGTGATTAACAAAAACTTATTAGCAAACAAATATCTTCTTAGTCTTTAAAACAAACCAAACTTTATCAAAAACTTTATAAACTTATTGTTGGCGCGGTTATGGGTGTGATGTCACAGATTAGTGATGGTTAACTCGAGTACCTAAGCCGAGTGTACTCGAGATGGACGTAACTCGAATCTACTCGATTTGAATTTTCTGTAAACCGAGTTCGAAAAAAAATTCAAGCATATAATTTAACTAAGGAAAAAATATTGTTTGTGATACTAATTATCTTATTTTCTTGAAAATATTGTGATTACTGATTATAAAAATAGTTTAATTGATAGTAAATATTATTTTAAATACTTAAATAAATGATTGGATTTCACTCGAGTTAAATCGAGTAATATTTTTCCCGAGTTGGCACATCACTATCACAGATTACTACAGATTTTTTTATAAAGCCAATGTACTACCACAGATTACTAAATAGGTTATGCGAAGTTTGTATAATGCGTTCTGAAATCAAACTCATATACTCAGACCACACTTATGTGCGCCTGCCTATATTTTACCTTAGTAACGTCATAAAATCGGAACATTTAATAATATTTATCTATACATAACTATACCGTGGCGAGTTATTTTCAAAAATTAATTAGAATTTAATTAAGTAACCACGTTTCCGAACAAACAATGCTCTTTCAATATAGTCTATGGCTGTGAATGACATTGGCTGCGTTCAAGTTTACTAAGTTCTTGGCAGATCTTAGCATATCTTGTAGCAACAACTTAAAATAACTATATTATTATTTTTTTAATCAATAATAAAACAATGTAAGACATATTTATTTAAGTGTGTCTAAAATTAATTTTTTGGTAGATAAAGTCAGCCCTGCTCAGAACTTAGTAAACCTGAACGCAGCCATTGACATTCGTTACGCGCGTTTTTTTAAATATGCAAAATTAAATGTATATTTTTCAATACTTCTGAGAGATTTTCTTAAAAAAATTTCCCGTAAGAACCTTCTCCTAATAATAACAAATACAACAAAAAAAGAATTAGTGAAATCGGTCCAGCCATTCACGCGTGATGCCGTGACCAAGGAAAACGGGTTTTATTTTTATATATAATTATATTAAAGTAAACCAGTAGATTTGGCACATTGCAAATAATTTAAAGGAAGGTTTACCTGATGTGTACAGTGAGTGAAGATCTTTGCGTGGCTCTAAAGTCGCAGTGCGGACACTGGTGGCGTTTGGTTCCCGTGTGAGTCAATTTATGCTTATGCAAATAGTCTTGCCTGGTGAATATACGACCACATGTCTGTCAACAACATTGGTAAACGATAAGGAACAAATCATCATCATCAGCCTTTAGTATTCCACTGCTGGACATAGGCCTATCCTTAGAAAGGAAGTTTTGGCCACGCTGGCCGGGCGGGTCACAAAAATCAGTTCATAAATGATAGAGTTCATATAGGCAGAGACAAAACAAACAAGCATTATATAACTATTGATTCTCCTTGTTTCTTAAAATGGTTTGAAAAGTAGGCTTTTATGGCTATGGTTTGGACTGGATGACAATATCGTATAATTGCAGGAATAATTAATCATAAGCATGACTGCACGGATGACATAGGGGTTAAAGCAGTCGCCACACAGCTTTCTACTATGCTGAGTGTTGTGGGATCAGTCCCCACATGGGACAACGCTTCTCTTGAGGTATTGTCCTTTAAAAAAATAAATAAAATCATATATGTATATCAGTGGCTCCCTCCTTACTTCTCTTCCATCTATCCATCTCTGCCGTGCCTTACAGGGTAAATATTTGATCTCATAAATTATTATTTTCCAATAATATGTAATGCATATAAAGAATTGCATTTAATTGGATATGTCTATTGTTAGATTACTAACTAAAATTCAATTCCTTATTGTAGTAACTAATAGAAGTTGTATCTTTGTGGGAAGGATTTCACCTATCTCGAAATTTTCATTTTTTTATACTTAAAACACTCAAATATTCAGTGTTTTATAATTAAAACACTCAAATTTTCAGTGTTTTATAATTAAAACACTCAAATTTTCAGTGTTTTATAATTAAAACACTCAAATTTCGAAATAGGTGAAATCCTTCCCACAAAGATACAACTTCTATTAGTTACTACATAATCTATTTCTTCTGTCACATTTGATGTCCCAAAGTAATAATGCTCGACAAAACCAAAAAAGGTTTTTATTAGTCGTTTTTAGGGTGATTTTAATTTAAATCCCGCCATTCAGATTTTTATTTGGGTTTAAACCCATTTCTGCCCAAAAAACTTAGTTTGAACCCATTTTAACACAATAGGTTTAAGCCGATTTTATTGCAATGGGTTTAAACACTCTACCCATCTCTATCCATCAGAACCAAGGGCCTGTGGGTCTATTGATTAGTGACTCTGACTGCTAAGCCACAAGTCATGGGTTCCATTCAGACCCAGGACAAATAATTGTATGATGAGCTCAATCTGTAATATGAACATATAAATAGTTTATCAGCCTGGTTATGATAGTACTGTCTTTTTTAAAGAAGATAGTACAGGCTCTGACAAGTTTGGGATCAGGCAGCCATCTGGGAGATATGTGAAGAAGATTATTATAATTTTTTGTTTTATTTTAACTATGACTCCCACACTAGGAATAAATCCTGTGGCGCGGGGGACTTTACAAACATACATAAAACGGACACAAAGAACACCCAGACTCAGAATGACAATTTGAGGATAACACAAAGTGTTGTCCCATGTATGAATTGCACCCACAAGACTAAGTGAAGTAGGAAGCAGCGAGGTGACCCCTTAAACCACTACGCCATTCGTCGATAAGTGTCGCCGTTAGTGCATTATTGGATGTAATCTTTATAAAAAACTATCAGTACTTAGTCTATGGTGTTTGGTGCTTTACTGACTATAAATTATGACTACTACTTACATCACACACAAAGTTTTTCTCTTTCCCATGTTCTAGCATATGTATTTTCAATAGTTCATTAGTCTTAAATAATTTTAAACATTTGCAGCATTTAAATATATGCTCTGGCAACTCTGTCAATGTGTTATGTCTATGGTCTCTCATATGAAACTCGTACATACACCGTTTAGGCAAATATCTGTTGCAAATGTTACATTTATATCCATCTTTTAATCCTTTACAGAAGTTAACTTCGTGACTGATGCGTGTCTTTTTACTTTTGAACCTTTTTTCACAGCCAAAACATTTAAAAAGTGTACCCTCATTCTCTATGCCATGGAATTCAATGTTGTGTGATGATAATTCCTCTTTACTGTGTAAGTCCAAGCAACAAATATTACAATACGTAGGAGAACGTTTATATATATACTTTTTCCTTAACTTAGAATTAGGTTTTGCTATTTTGTTCAAACTAGCGTCTTGAAATTCTACATCATTATCTGGAAATTCATCTATTTTATCAAAATTTACATCAACAACTTCATCCTTAACTGCGCTTAACTCTAAATCCCCTCTTTTCACTTCACTTGAACCTTTACAGAGTATTTCTTGTAACTTTCTATTAGTTTCTCTACAAAAATTTTTGAATGAATAAAATCTTTTCACTTCGTTACGACAGTTCTTACATAATCTATTAGGACTTATACTTTCCACTTCTATATCAAGACATTCTTTAATTATTTCGGCGAATGATACTTCTGCTGGCTTTTCAAAGCTTTCTTCATTTTCCTCAATGATATTTTTATTCCAGCATAATCGACAAACGTCACCTTGTAAGAAGTATTCATATGTATAAATACTATTATCTGTCGTAATTAGGGTCCAGTACATTATATACACAATTTTTACTGTTCTTAAACAAAACCTGTAAATACAACTCGAACTCTGTTGATTTTTTTATGTTACTTTTAATGTCATTATTGTCAGTTCATCTTACAGATGACCCGGTGTGGCCAGCCCTTGCATTATTTGCAACCACTGTGCGCTCAAAAAATCTCATACTATATTACTCTATTATAGTTTATTATATAACTCGAAAAAATAATTTATACAAAATAATCCGAAACTTCTTGTTTCTGTCTTAATTGACGGGATATTTTTAATGTTCCAAAACTTACTGTTTTATTTCATTCGTATCCATAGAGATAATATGAGAATAGAGCTCACAAAGGAAGCCTCACCATGTCTCACGGTGCGAGAGAGATCGCTGCACGCTGTAGAAGAGGCCCCCCTCTATATCTCTCTCTCACTGCATATATAGCGGGAATTAAGAAAGAATTTTTGCGTCTGAGTCTCTGAAAGGGCTATGTTCGGGGTTTCTCTAAGGGAACGCATCAGCAATGGAGTGATACGGTAGAGAACCAATGTCAACGACATAACCCACCGGATTAGCAAGCTGGGGTCATATTTGCCGCAGAACCGACAACCTCGTTAACCCCAACGGTTTTCTTGTGGAGGCGACGTACGAGAAGTAGTTTAGGACGCGGTGGTGACGTGACCAGGTGGTGACGATTTGCAAAAGATGGCTGGCAGGAGTTGGATGCAAGAAGTTGAAAATCGACCGAAGTAGCGTGCGATGGGAGAGGCCTATGTCCAGTAATGGCCTGCGATAGGCTGATGATGATGATGATTTCACAAATGCCACTGGATTTTTTTATTATATATTTAATTTAAGCGTGTTATAAAAATAAGAACACCATCAGCCACATTTCTTCACTTTAGAAAACAATGTTTTCTTTTATTAGGATGCTTGATTGTACTTGGGATATTGCCTAGCCTCTTCTCTCTCTCCCTCTCAAGATGAAAGTTCGAGCTCGCATTCTAGACACCCTAGCAGATTCATTACAACCTTAAAGTGTGAAAGTAATTCGAACGGGACATGTGCGTAGAAGTTGGAGAGATATCTCTCTATCGATAGAGAGAGCTTATACTTTAGAGAGATATAGATAGATGTTCGTTGTTGAATAAAATAGGGCAGGCACTGAGGTTTCTATTTTCAACAGTCGTAGTTAAAAATATCATAAGGGCTGTTAATTTTCTAGTTAACAATTTTTTAATTGTAATTTAAAAAAAAAATACCTCGAGTATTCATAAGCAGATCTACCGTCTGGTGACGGCATATCGTTGAATTTTGGGACACCCTGAATGTGTCCCAAAATTCCCAAATTTTAAAATACATATTATAGATAAATTAAGCCCAAACACAGAACAAATAAGATCATGCTCATCATACAAATATTTGTGTCCTGGGTGGGATTTGAACCCACGACGGCTGTAGCAGTCAGGGTCACTAACCACTAGATCAACAGACTCGCCAATAAAAACCACTTTAATATTTTTTATTACAAAGGCAAATAACAACACCAATATTTCTATAATTATAGATTTAATGTTGATAAACAACACATTCAAACTTAGCCTACTTATCATTAACTAATAACAAGTACAACTTATGTCTAAAAAAAAATGAAGGCATCGTTCACATATGACTTGAGAACATACAACACATACCTAGTATCAGTTTCTTTAAAATAAACGGACCAAGTGCATCTTTCACGTTATTAGACATCACAAAATAAGAGTCAATAAAAAATAAGGCTATATCTACGAGACATTAAAAGACATACCCATTCGTATTATTCAGCAAAGGCAACCAGGCCTTAAAAATCAATTCAAATTAACATAATTCACTTCATTCATTCACTGTTTTCGCCTTGGGACCAAACAGAGAATATTACCGTCCCAAATAAGAAAAAGAATTTTCCAAATGGGTCCATAAATGACAAGTTATGAGTTAAAACACAAAGAAAAACAATTGACCTCCTTCTTTTATTTGAAATTGTTAAAAATTCAAACACACATCTAAAATGCCTATAACCATATTTTATAACAAAAATATATTTCTTTCTCTGAAAAATTTCGATTTATTCACTCAATTGCAATACACCAAAGTTGTTTGTTTACCTATGTTTGGCGCGTTTACTTTCGAAAAGCGCGGGAATATGGGTAGATAAATATTTAACAGTAATTCGTCTAGAAAACCATCACATACATCAATAGCATACATGGGACATACTGTAAACTATTATTCTACAGCTAAATGTGCAAACCCGTATCAGAATTTGTGGATAATTGGTTACAATGACCCATTTCCAGTTGCAGTCCAGTACTTTTAAGCTAGGCAATTACTTTTTTAATTATACTCAACTTATCTTTTTAATATTTGTAGCTAAGTTGAATAATAAAATAAGTACAACTCTAAAAATTAAATGATGTTAAAGTGAATTATATATAATCCAGTAAACTTATTTATCTTTGTATATAAGGGCAGATTACAACTCTTAAACAACCAACATTTAATTTCACTATATAAAGTATGCTTATATGGATAAAAGATAACTTCTTATTATCTTATTTTTTGTTAAAAGTGTATAATTTATTTCATAAAACAATTTATGAACTTTTCAAACGAGACCATCTTAAACAAAAAAATATGGCGCGAAAATACAAAATATCACACCACAGACAGTAAATCATTTTACTTTATACTTGGGATGGTTATACTCTCAAATAATAGCTTTATTTTAAAGTTGCAACTTAGATAGATTTATTTAAGTCTATAATAATATTATTTAAGTTCATTCGTCTACTCTCTCTTGGTCTCTGTCCTTCTTTTTCTTTTTCTTCTTCTCTTTGCGTGAAGTGTCGGCCTCTTGCGTAATATCTGTCTCCATTGTTGCATCACCGGATCCATCTTGAGCACTGGATAGGAATAAAATAAAAAATTTCAAACAGGTACAGGTATAGCTGGTGTAGGAGAGCTGTGCAATGACATTTTTGACTACTGCCAAAAACGGTTTTTCTTACTACTGCCAGAGGTCAAAAACCGTTTTACTTAAATTGCAAGTCTATAGAATTTTGCAGAATATATAAAATATACAGAATGTTTGTGATTTAATTTATATTTATGTATTAGGTAATTACTTTATTATAATATTAAGTTTATATGAATATACTATATTCATTAAGAGCCTTTAGTTGTCTACTACTGGATATTGGCCTCTCCTTAGAAAGGTTTTGGTCTACTATACCACTCTGACCAGACGAATTGGTCTAGGGGTTGTTTTCTTCTCTTTACAGTTTGTTTGTTTTGTTTTTTATTTTAAAGACAACTCCCGCACTAGGAATAAATAATAATAATAATATAAGTATATGTGGGGATCGAACCCACAACACTTAGTGCAGTAGGAAGCGGCAAGGTGACCACTTAAACCACTACGCCATTCGTACTGTTGTCCTGCTTAGTTTCCCTTAATCGGCAACGACAGGATGAACAGGGCTGGTGACACTCTATATTCTCAATCCATGTTTAATACATCTCACTCTACCCATAGAAATAGATGTGAGTTCATGTCTGTGTGTGTGTGTGTGTGTGTGTGTGTGTTTGTGTGCGTGTGTGTGTGTGTGTGTCAATTTTTTTAAGAAAATACTGTACATTAAATAAATTGAACAGGTTTTGATAAACCTAATTTAACAACTAAGATTACAAAAGATACTTACACAGCTTCTGCTGCTTCACTGTCTCTCTTCTTCTTCTTCTTTTTCTTCTCTGACTTGACTTCTACAGAATTATTAGGATCGTCAGCATTCGCCGTACTGGCTGTCCGTTTTCTACCGCCTTCATCATCCCCATTCTCCTCAGTGTCTACCTTCTTAGATTTATACTCTACGTAACTATTCAGCCACTCAGCAGGAGTATTCTCATTAGGTTTGCCGTATTTGTCTAATTTTCCTGATGAAATCAACTGTTTCTTATGAGATGCTTTAGGTCCTAATCCCCATTTCCTTGGATATGTGTCCCTTTCCATTATAACCCTTTTAAGTTTTGCTGCTACTCCGTGATCACATGATGCCATTGTTGAAGTTGTCATTAATGCGATAGCCAAGGCAACCGCTTCACCTTTCGTAGTGACTATAACAATTTCTTGTTCAATTTCTATACCATCATCATACCGTAAAATACCTGGTACTAGAACTTTTGCACCATAACAAACAGCATTAACTGCACTGTCTTTGATGAATATTCTTTTATGAGCAATTAGAAGGCCTTCCAATGGCTTTATGACTCTCCGAAGGTAGCTTTCATCTTTATGGTTTTCAAATGCCCACTGTGCGTCTAAAATATCATGCATAGTTACCATGCCTTCTTTCTCACCCTGGATGCCAGATCGGACTCTACGGAGCTCAATCATCTGACCACCAACTCCAAGCATGAGACCGAGATGAACACACATGGTACGGATATAGGAGCCGGCTTCACAGCTTACCCAAAATACACCAATGTTGCGTTCTGTATCAAAGTCGAGGAGTTTACTGTCATAAACGGAACGCACACGTAGCTGTCGCTTAACGGCCGATATTAGAGGAGGCCGTTGGAACAAGGCTCCACGTAACTTTTCCAAGCCTTGAGTAACTTTTTTAACATTTTCGACTGCAGAATGGAGACTGAACACTGCAACATACTCCTTACCGGCATTCTGCTGTGATTTAACAAGTCTCGTGGCACGGTCAATACAAACAATCAGACAACCTGTGACTTTAGGATCCAAAGTGCCCGAATGACCGGTTTTTTCCACTTTGAGAATGCGTTTTATCCATGATACAACTTCGTGGGAGCTTGGATTACTTGGTTTATCGACATTAATGAAGCCAGCTTTAACATATTCAGATATTGGACGTTTTAAAGGCGAATGTCCAAATGGCAACGGCGTGTAATGGTTAGTGCGCACATTGAGACGATCAAAATTTTTCAATAACAAAGGCCAGAACGCCGTATCTAGCTTAGCTACGCTTTCTGAAGGTTCGATTTTAAAGTCTCCAATCTTCTGGAATTGTCCCAGTGTGACAGATTCTTTACCTTCCTTGTTTTTCTTCTTTTTCTTTTCAGAAAATACCTCGCCGCCGGGTTGCAGGACTTCTGTCATTTTGCTGTTATAACTTAATTCTTTCGTTATCAAACACTATATGCGTACACTAGTTCAACTGGGTCAGTTTCGTGGAGTAAGTAGCACTACTTTTTGTTTGTAAATTAAATTTACAAGTGCACAAACAACGAGCCAACACGTGCAAAGTTCAAAACTATTTTAGGTTAGCTACAGCTTCATTGAGTTGTTCACTGCGAAGCACCGAGCCAGCCGAGCGATAACACCAGTGTTACCAGACGTGACAGGAAGAAATTACCATCTGCTTTAATATATTATTTCCTTGAACAAGGAAAATAAATATTGTCACGTGTGTAATAATTGTTATTTATTAAAAAGTTATCACTGAATACCTCTAGTATTATAGTTTAGCTAGCTACTCCGCTATTTGGAGTATATTCGTGTATATGTTCGGATCAATATTAAAACTAACCTATAAAGTATTTTTAATTCCTTAGAGAACAGTAATTGACATGGTAGTTTCCTATTCTAACTTAAGCATTAAATTACTTGAGAAAAATTTAAGAAAACATAAGAAAGAGAAAAAGTGTTCCACTATGACTCCTAAGTCAATTTTTATTTTATTATAAAAGGGTCTTTCTTGATTGCTATTACTTGAAAATGTTACACTAATTTTAAAGTCTCTATATACATTAGATTATTATGTAATTGGTATTATTGTGTTATTCTCTGGTTAACTTCTATTTTATAGTAATGTGACCGGATATTAACAAAATAAAACAATGTAGCAAACCAAATGACCTGTTAGTTTCTTGACATAGAATCTACATATTGGAACAGACAAATTTAGCACTGATTGAGAGTATAAGAATAAATGTGATTGTTTCAATTCAAATAAATGATTTGAAAAGAAAAAAAGATACTATTGAAGAGGTGGAAGGTTGTTTATCTGGTAACACAGGTCGAAGTTGCTTACAATCACAAAATCACAATCGGAAGGTACCAACATACAGATAATTGATGATTAATTTAAATAAAAGTTTCTGGGGAATTACATATTTTCAACAATCTAATAAAAGTAATATAATTTAAAAAACGTCATAAAATCATGTTCATAGTTCTTTTATCTTTTCAAATATTTAGTTTAAGTTTAAATTACTACCTATGCTAAATTTATCATTTACTATTATGTAAAAATGAAGGTAATCTTGAAACAAAAAATAAATCAATCCAAATCAATCAAAACATAGACTACCATGAATGATCAGAAACAGTATTTATTTTGTTTGTAGTTTGTACCACCTTACGAAAGTAACTGTCATTGGTCATTCAATCAAAGTCAATCAACAAAGCTTGAAAAGCGTGTTATTATTTAAGTTACACATTTTGTTTATAAAAATTGGTAATTAAAACATAAACATGGCCGGTGTACTGTTTGAAGATATATTTAACGTTAAAGATATTGATCCCGAGGGAAAGAAATTCGACAGAGTTAGCCGCTTACACTGTGAATCAGAGTCTTTCAAAATGGACCTTATTTTAGACGTCAATTCTTGGATTTATCCAATGGAACTCGGTGATAAGTTTAGATTGGTGCTTGCTACAACTCTCAGAGAGAACGGGTATCCCGACGGAGGAGAATGGAACCCTCTAGAAACGGAAGGAAACCGCGCCGACAGTTTTGAATATGTCATGTCTGGGAAAGTTTATAGGTTAGTAGAATAGGCTCTAACTTATTTGTACCGCGTTTTTAGGTTCTAGTTAGATAGGTATTTATACTGTTTGCAGGTACTAATTCAAGTGTAAAACATTGTTCATAAATTATATCTTTGTACTACTATTCCAAAGAAATTTAAGAATAGTGTATAAGTGAAATGCATAGGGTTCAGATAAGTGGTGATGTGTTATCAATACTATGCTGAGTGTGATATGACTGGTTTACTTTCTTCGTGTGTTTTCTGTGTGAGTTATTAAATATGTAAATATTGAAGTTTAATCATGTGCAAAGCAGTTACTGTTTTCATGAACTCAAAACATAGCAACTGGCCGATTGCCTGTTGGTCTAGTAGAGGGATGCCCAAACTATTTTGGCCAAGAGAACCTTTTCCTACCCCATAGCCATATTACTTTAAAAAATCCTATCCCTAGTTTTTTTCTTATTGATACAAAATACTTAAACACTTTTTGGTTGATTAATTGATTAAACTTGAGATCATGTTCTCAACAAAATATAACAAAATAAATAGACATAAAATTCAGTAAATAACAAGTGTAATTGATAATTAAAAATACAAAATATGTATATGGGGTTGAATAAGTATGTCAACCCCTTAGGAACCGATTTCAACCAGGAGGGGTCGATTCTACCACTTTAGGAGCATCTGGTCAGCTTAACCTTCAGGGTCACAGTTTTAAGTGCCAATTAGATATATGGTTAGAAAAGCACAACCCATTGGACTAAACAACCGTTTAATCATGTACATGGGAACTCTTACATCACAAACTTACTCCAGTGCAGTGATGTGGACACATCAGCAAGTTTGCTGCTCGTCCATAATACCCTAATAATAATATTTCTTTATTGTTTCCAGGATAGAAGGTGATGAAGCAGCTATGGAGCCAGCCTCACGGTTAGCTGCATATGTTTCATTTGGGGGTCTTCTAATGCGTCTCCAAGGTGACGCTAACAACTTACACGGCTTTGAAGTGGATCAGCACATGTACCTGTTAATGAAAAAGTTAGCCTTCTAGAACTTTATAATTAGGTATTAAATTATAAGTTTATTGTGTAAGAATAAAGTTTATTTTTAAAACAGTTTTTTATTGCATATTTTATCGAAGATTATCTGTGCAATGCCACACTTTGCTGTTACACATTGAAATTGCATTGCTTTACAGTTAAAGTTTGAGCTCAATCGGTGAAGAAGTTTTTGAAGCGTACACAAACCCACTTAACGTTGTAAAATTTTTATAAGAGTATGATAGGATAATAGCGAAAGTAAACTAGTTGAACTTAAAACTGTGTATAATCAGAGTAGACCGCCATCTGTTGTCAAGTAGAATTAAAATGGGTTTGTAACGCTAGAAAACGCTACTCTTAAAATTAAAACGTGAACATTTTCGAACAAAACTGATTTAAATGTTGATTTATTGATGTCGAGGTAGTAGGCAAGATAAAATTATTTGCAATTTTACACATATAATTTGAGAAGTATGTAATTATTTTATTATTTTGACACTTCACATATTTGACATAGTAAAATAGTAACTTTTTTTGAAATAAAACCAATAATTGTATTTTTATTTTTTATTGTAAAATGCACTAAGTACAAAGTTTTATTTAAACCAGTAGCGACATCTAGCGTTACAAGTAAGCGATCAACTCTACTCGACTACAGATGGTAGTGTCCTCTGATTAATCGTATTTTCGTTGGATAACAGAAGTACCTACTATTTGTAACATTAAAAATAATATATTACGGACAGCTCGCTTTTCGAAAACGGAGAAATACTGAAATAACAAAGTTTTAATAAACCTAATAAATTTACAATTGGTGGTGATTGGGACACTACGAGCACAGATAAACTAATATTTGCTCTTCTGCAATGAAAGCGAAACCCAAAAATTTACATATTAAAACTATTTTATTGTTATTATTAAATGTTACTTGCAACAGACACCCCAGTCTTTCTAACTTGTGCACATAAAGAATCTATGATGTAATTACGAGATAATAATTAACAATTTGAATTGAATATGTTTTATTATTGTTGTGAACCATTTACATTAAATCATATTACGTATAAGTATATCACGGCTATAACAATTTTAATGTGCTTATTGAAAATAATTTCCACCATCTAACGAGGCGGGCAACCTAATAATGGGCAAATGGCTCTCTCCGCCATTTGTCGCTAATTACACCTATTATACAGAGATGGCGCTTTCACATGCCTACCGCTGTGATGGCGGCCGCCCGCGAATACCGCCTGCGGGTGTTCTTCATTAATATTAATGGAAATATGAAAAGAATTGACAAATAAATGATTGCCATTATGTGGCCTGTTGGTCCAATGGTTGTGGTGATCCTGAATGTAAAGCTAGAGATGTTGGCTTCGATTCTACTCAGGACGAATACCTAATTATGTTACAAGCACGGTCATTTTATATCTTATCTTGTAATATTTTTAATGTCATAGGTACTTAGAAGAATTGTATGGTTTTGTTCAGAATCTTTCACAGCCCCTGGAAGTCAGCCACGAGGATTTCCAGACGACAGTAATATTATAAGGTTAATTCACGAACAAATAAATGTAGTTTTAACACTTAGTTGCTCTTTACGGTGCAATGTAAAATTATAAAAGAAGGGTGTGTAGGCACAGTATTTTATGCTATTTTATAGTGCCTTATAGGGAACTTGTCGTGTGAGTTAACTAAGGGAGGAAACTACGCACGGCAACAGCAACGCAAACAGAAGGTAAACTTGAAACAAACCCTATAGCAACCTGGCCAGCGTGATATAGTATGCCAAAACTGAAAAAAGCTTATGTCCAGCAGTGCACTTCTATAGGCTGTTGATGATAGGGGGCGACGTCGCTGGGCAGTAGCAAGGTATTATTACAAGAAGACAAAGAGCCTATGTGCTTTTCCAGACTATGATATTTTTCTATGCCAAGTTTCGTCCATCCAAATATGCTCAGCCGTTCTAACGATCGATGGAGTAACCAATTTAATGGGCCTGTTGGTTCAGTGGTTTGTGATCCTGACTGCTAAACTAAGAGGTTTGTGGGTTCGATTCCCTCCCAGAACAAATACTGGGTGATGAGCACGATCATGTGTAAGATGTGTGAGGTTATCCACACTTATCCATACTAATATTATAAATGCGAAAGTGTGTCTGTCTGTCTGTCTTAAACCGCTGAACCGATTTAGATGAAGTTTGGTACAGAGATAGTCCGAGTCCCGGGCAAGGACATAGGGTAGTTTTAATCGCAGAAATCATCAATTAACAGGGTGAAAAGGGAGGTGGAAGTTTGCATAAGGCATCAATAACCACTAAACCGATTTAGACGAAATTTGGTATAGAGATACTTACTTTGATTCTTGAGGAAAGACATTGACTATAGAGAACCTAATTTTTGTGATAGCATTACACAAAGTAGGTAGCGCCAAATGTAGTAGAGCCAAATGTAATTTTTGAAACTCTCTATCGCTTGGTATTAGTCGAATGTTGGTGTACCGAGCTGATACAACACAATACAAAATATAATAAAAACTCCTTAAAATTCTCCCAAAATACAAAAAAAAAGAGGCGATTAAAGCAGTAAAGAATTCTAAGAAATTCTGTCCTAAAGTAAAAGATTTTATGCCAGGATGTGTATTATTTAATAACATGACTAAGGACTTGCAACCTATAGAAGCGCACTGGTCATTATTTAACTGTTAATTTAAAAATGAACTGGGTGGGAAAAGTGAAAAGTTAAGCGATACGCAAAGGAAGGTCACACATTTCTTTTTATATGCTGACGACATTTTTTTAAAGTGAAACTTTTATATTATAACGCCTCAAATTTTTTCGTCCATCTATCACATTTCGCATTACAGCCAAAGCCAATATGGCGGCGCTCGCATCAGCTGACCGTGTTGCATTTATATTCTTACTCATTCGTGCAAGTGCTCCGCGATATTTGTGTGTTTTGATCAATACCCTAAATATAATAATTTGTCGAATTTTTTCAGTTACTACATATACATACGATCAGAAAAAAAGTTTCAGTTGCATCGTGTTTTTTTTTACTATTGAGCAATATTTTAACAAGCAGAATGACCAAGTTTATACTCAAAGCTCTATGGAAGTTGTCCTGTAAGTATGCACCTACGTAGATGCATACGAAAAAATATTTTCCTAAATTTTCAGTAGGTAGTAGTATTTTGGATTACCGGACGAATCATTATCATCAATCATCAACAGCCTATAATAGTAATCTGCTAGACATAGGCTTCTCCTTGGAAAGGAGGTTTTGGCCTACTATACCACGCTGGCCAGACGGGTTGGTATAGGCTTTGTGTCAAGTTTTCCTTCTCTTTGCAGTGCTGTTGTCCTGCGTACTTTGCTCCCTAAGTCGCCTCTTACGACACCCACAGAAAGAATAGGGGTGGTGACACTCCGTATTCTTAATCCGTCACCACACGGATGAAGGACCGGACAAATTATAGCATAAAAATAAATTTTCAAATTCCCGCCATAACAACGCATTTGAAATAAAAAAACAATTGGCACGCGACACTCGTTAGCGCCACGTGCGCCCTGTGTGACGTCACCCGTGTGAATGACGTCACATGTCGCCATGAATTCCTTTTGAACGCGTTCGAAACCAAATGGGGGCTTGTTTTTCTTTGAATATTGGTTTAATTACTTGTAATGATCACCGACCCGCGCAACTTCGTTTACCTCTCGTAAAAGGAACAAAATTTCCCCGTTTTTGCAACATTTTTTATTGATGCTCGGCTCCTATTGGGGGATGGCGTGATGTTAAAAACCCTTAGTCTTCATCGATAAATGGGCTATCCAATACTAAAGGAATTGTTTTAATACTAAAAATAATAATAATAATAATAATATTCTACCACATACACACAACGCCATCTAGTCCCAAACTAAGCAGAGCTTGTGCTATGGGTACTAGACAACTGATATAAATACATATATACTTTTTTTTTTTTTTTTTTTTTTGTAAATACATACATATTATACATAGAAACACCCAGACCAAATCAAACATCAAATGTTCATGCACACAAATGTTTGACTTGAGCGGGAATCGAACCCGCGACCTTTGGAATAGCAGTCCGTTACACAAACCACTACGCCATCCGGTCGTCAAAAGAATTCAATTCGAACTGTAGTAGTTCCTGAAATTAGCGCGTTCGACCAAACAAATATCTTTTTTTAGCTTAATAATGAGTATTTAATACAATCTACTTAATTAGTTTTTACGGCTTTTTTTTAATGGGAAAACGCGATACGGGTCACGGCATTTGAGGTTTGGAGGTCGTATCGCTTCGTAAATACCGCAAAAAGGAAATACCGTTTTATCCGAAAAAGGTGTCCTATCTCTGTGATACGTCCATCATGATAGGCCAAGCCGTTTGGCGTGACTGAGTAACCAACATACATCTGAACTCTAGCTTTAACTACAGTAGTGATCAGAAGGCATTTTTCTAGCACAGAAAATTAGCATTTCCATTCAACGTAGCAATGCTGTCAGTCTTCTGGGAACGCTACGCTAATGCGGAGGAATTTTTTGATGCTTATACTCAGACATGATATACCCATGATATACCCAGACACAGAAAAAAATGAACGTGCTCATCACACAATTATTAGTCCCGGGTGTAAATCAAACCCACGACCTCAGGCATACATAAATATTTGTGTGTACCTATCTACTCGTATGCTCTCATAATGTGTAGGTATAATGTGAACCTTTCAAATTTTTAAACATAGGCAAAGTCTTTTCAAACGAAAGTCTGCACGACACAACCTCTTTGAATTCAATAAAATAAAAATTAAAACAAATCTTATTATTTCTTCTCTATGCAACGCGCACAGACAACCACAATGTACCTACCTCAGAAGGGTGTCTCCCTGAGTTCCCCTTTCCATTGCAGGGGGGTGTAAATTAGTCCAATTTGTAACAAAGTGACGCGCGCTAACGACACAGCGTTTAATTATTGCAACTCGTTATAT